ACCTTCTCTTCTACTGTCTTTTATCTGCAAATCATTTTCTCTTGTACTGTCTCTCCCCTCTATGTACCTTCTCTTCTACTGTCTCTTATCTGCACATCATTTTCTCTTGTACTGTCTTTCCCCTCTATGGTACCTTCTCTTCTACTGTCTTTTATCTGCACATCATTTTCTCTTGTACTGTCTTTTCCCTCTATGGTACCTTCTCTTCTACTGTCTTTTATCTGCACATCATTTTCTCTTGTACTGTCTCTCCCCTCTATGGTACCTTCTCTTCTACTGTCTTTTATCTGCACATCATTTTCTCTTGTACTGTCTTTTCCCTCTATGGTACCTTCTCTTCTACTGTCTTTTATCTGCACATCATTTTCTCTTGTACTGTCTTTTCCCTCTATGGTACCTTCTCTTTTACTGTCTTTTATCTGCAAATCATTTTCTCTTGTACTGTCTTTCCCCTCTATGGTACCTTCTCTTCTACTGTCTTTGATCTGCACATCATTTTCTCTTGTACTGTCTTTTCCCTCTATGGTACCTTCTCTTCTACTGTCTTTTATCTGCACATCATTTTCTCTTGTACTGTCTTTTCCCTCTATGGTACCTTCTCTTCTACTGTCTTTTATCTGCACATCATTTTCTCTTGTACTGTCTCTCCCCTCTATGGTACCTTCTCTTCTACTGTCTTTTATCTGCACATCATTTTCTCTTGTACTGTCTTTCCCCTCTATGGTACCTTCTCTTCTACTGTCTTTTATCTGCAAATCATTTTCTCTTGTACTGTCTTTCCCCTCTATGGTACCTTCTCTTCTACTGTCTTTTATATGTACATCATTTTCTCTTGTACTGTCTCTTCCCTCTATGGTACCTTCTCTTCTACTGTCTTTTATCTGCACATCATTTTCTCTTGTACTGTCTCTCCCCTCTATGGTACCTTCTCTTCTACTGTCTTTTATCTGCACATCATTTTCTCTTGTACTGTCTCTCCTCTCTATGGTACCTTCTCTTCTACTGTCTTTTATCTGCACATCATTTTCTCTTGTACTGTCTTTTCCCTCTATGGTACCTTCTCTTCTACTGTCTTTTATCTGCAAATCATTTTCTCTTGTACTGTCTTTCCCCTCTATGGTACCTTCTCTTCTACTGTCTTTTATATGTACATCATTTTCTCTTGTACTGTCTCTCCCCTCTATGGTACCTTCTCTTCTACTGTCTTTTATCTGCACATCATTTTCTCTTGTACTGTCTTTTCCCTCTATGGTACCTTCTCTTCTACTGTCTTTTATCTGCACATCATTTTCTCTTGTACTGTCTTTTCCCTCTATGGTACCTTCTCTTCTACTGTCTTTTATCTGCAAATCATTTTCTCTTGTACTGTCTTTCCCCTCTATGGTACCTTCTCTTCTACTGTCTTTTATCTGCACATCATTTTCTCTTGTAGTGTCTTTTCCCTCTATGGTACCTTCTCTTCTACTGTCTTTTATCTGCACATCATTTTCTCTTGTAGTGTCTTTTCCCTCTATGGTACCTTCTCTTCTACTGTCTTTTATCTGCACATCATTTTCTCTCGTACTGTCTTTCCCCTCTATGGTACCTTCTCTTCTACTGTCTAATATCTCTATAAGTTACAACCTTGCCAACAATGAAAAATGCATATAATAGCTGTATACTTATGCACCACAGGGAACAACACCTGACAGCTAAAGAAGCAATCAAGCAGCACACAGGCAGCTTGTATACACAACAAACATTTCCAGCAAAACCTTCCATTTTGATAAGAAAACAGACAAAACTACTGGCCTTGGTTTTTTTCCCCAGGCGTACTCAGGCAAACATCTCTGGAGGCAAGACTTCATTTGCCTCTTTGTTGCCTTCTTTCAAGGCAAATTTATTAACTATTTTTGGGGGGCTGATTCTATCCTATTACATGGACCTTATTACAATTAATGAGTGTACAATCATAACAACAGAGATGAGAACCAAAAAAAGAAGAAGATGAGGAGGAGGAGGAGAAGAAGAAGCAGAGGTAGCCGGTGGTGAGATGCTTGCCTCATTTATTTCACCTCAGTGCTCTCATCTGAATGGGCTAATCTCACCACATTAACTCTTAGTCTCATCTGAATTGGCTAATCTCACTGCATAAACTTACAGCTCTCAACTGAAAGGGCTTATCTCACCGCATTAACTCATATCTCTCATCTAAATGGGCTAATCTCACTGCATTAACTCATATCTCTCATCTGAATGGGCTAATCTCACCGCATTAACTCATATCTCTCATCTGAATGGGCTAATCTCACTGCATTAACTCATATCTCTCATCTGAATGGGCTAATCTCCCTGCATTAACTCATAGCTCTCATCTGAATGGGCTAATCTCACTGCATTAACTCTTGGTCTCATCTGAATGGGCTAATCTCATTGCATTACCTCTTGGTCTCATGACTCAGATGATCTATTCCTGTTGTGATTTCATCTCCTGAAATGCCTCAAAGCCAACTGGATCCCTAAATGTAACGGTTTAGCTTCTCGTCCACTGATATGTGAAGTGTTATCTAAGCTGGCTGCCAGATAACACCCGCTGGTTGCAGATTTGGCTGACATTAAAAATAAGTATTTTCCATGGCAAATGTGCGTGAAAATATTTACAATGAGACACATAAGTATGAACAAATATCAAATACTGTCAATAGTTTCCACAGTTTTACAGGCTTGATTCTGAACAAAGTGGGCACTGGTTATGTCTACTGCAGGTGGGTAGGTAAAGGCAGACGTCCATTCATCTACTGACATGTGGGGATTCACACTTTCATTTTTTTTTTAGGCCAGGGGTTCTCAATCAGCTAATACAATAGGGGGCAGCAGGTTTGAATTCTTTTTCTTTACTTGAGACAACATATCACGTCCCAAATACAACATATCAAAGCAAACCTTCTAGCCAAGAGAAACACCGGTTGAGGGAAAACTTCATGGCTCGCTGAGACAGTGAAGTTAATACTAATGACAACAATGCAGATATAGATAATCTATTTTGGGCGAAAGAAAGAAGAAGATAAAAAAAAAAAATAATACCAGCCTATCCCTTTTTTGGGAGGTTAGCCAAGGAAGTCTTTTTAACAGTCACACTGAAGAACTTATATAAATATTAAGGGGCTGCGTGGTCTTGAGGCATGGTGTCCACCTCGAGTGCTAGAGGCTCCAGGTTCAATCCTCGGTAAGGGCTGGGATTTTTTAATGTGTACTTGGACTTCTAGTAATTCCTCCTGGTCTCTGGGTACTGAGATCGATGCCCGTGTGCATTGTTGTGCATGTAAAAAATCCCTTGGCAGTTAAAAATCTAAAAGAGTAGCCTAACGGCACTGCCCAGGCAATCAATTGGGGATGAAAATCTACCCAAAGTATTTCAGGATCTTGGTCGGTGCTACAAAGCCTGTGCACTGTGCTGAGCTTCTTCGGACTCAGACTTGAGTTAGAAGAAGAACAGAGCACGTGTGGGTTACTACCAATCTCAGAAAAGATTGCACTCCAAAGTTGAGGGTTTTTGTTGATGATATCATCATCATGTAACACTGCGTGTTGTTGGGTCACTAGTTGTTGCTGATTGTCTGATCATCTCCCTTCACTACTTACTGACGGTCAGTTGTGATGGACCATGGTTTTATGCCCGAGGCCTGTCCAGCCAGTCAAGGTTTGTATCCAGGTCTTTCTTGGTCAGCCTCTTCACCTCTTCCCCTTAACTGAACCATGAAGTATTGTTTTTGAGAGGCCGTTAGATCTTATTACACGTCCACACCATTTATTTTCTGCTTTTTCACTGCACTTAAAAGAGGTTCAAAGTTGCAGATATAATGTATAATTATATGGCAAACCTCATCTTTCGTAATGTGGTCTCTGCATGATTGGCCAAGAATGTTCTGAAACATTGCATTTCCAATGCTTGTTTATCTTCTTTTTCGAGTTCATCTGTTAAGGTCCACATTTCATGGCCATATGTAAACGTACTAACAGCTAGTGCTTTGAGCAGTCGAAGCTTAGTTTTACATGAAATGTTTTTGGATCTGAATAATGTTTGCTGCTTGGCAAGGATTGATGTTGTCTGGGCAATCCTAGACATCTGGACCCTATGTCACTTAAAATGGATCCTAACTATTTGAAATGATAACACAGACCTCTTCTGCTTGGAATTTTATCATGGTATGGGGCATCGCAGGTCGACCCAGACTACAATGGGTACCTGGATTAGCTGTCCTGGGGAAGTAAAGATGGTTAGCGTAATGCTGACCACATTAGCCACCTAATGCCGATGGTCTGTAAAAATATGGGTGCTCTTCCCATATACCCCTTAGGCCTAAAGGCGTGAAAAGGGATGTTAACTAACACAGACCTCTTAAATTCATGGACTAATAATGAGAAACACTGTTGTAGGGGATCTATTCAGCTGGTGATGTGAATAAATTTGCCTCTGTGGTTGTATCTTCCTCTTCTTCCAGCAGTAAACTCCAGCGGAAAGTTCTGTCTGTTTGTCCCCTTCCGAACTTTGGTCTTGTTCCAAAACTTGAGTTTTGGATGCGTTTTACAGATCTGACATATCTGTAAAAGGTTTTTGATTCTCACATCTCATTCAGATGCACTCTGACTTTGAAGGAAAAATCCCAGTTGGTCACCTTTTATGATACGTTTGTCAGGTGACAGTAGGTCCATTCTCTTTCCAGCAAAAATGGGGCCCTAGAAAACAAAGAGGGAATGTTAAGGTCCCATTTTTTTTCCTTCTGAATTTTTAAAACAGTTTTATGATCATGGGTGAATGGGTTTTTAATCTTAAACCAGGAAGGCAACTTTATTGTCAACCATCACAGTCGTCTCCGGTATCTGTCAGAACTGTCAGTAATAAACCAACTTACTGTATAATAAATGCTGATATGATCGCCATGTGGCTTTATCCATTACACTGCCAATTTCCCCGGGAAAATCTCTTCATTATAATAATTTATTTCATGAGCAATGTTTTGTTACTTTTCCATTAAAGAGAGCTCCAAAATCTTTTGCAATTCTTCTTCCTCTTGCTTCCTTCGCTGCTCTTCCTCCTCCTGCTCCTTCTTGGAAAGTTCTAGAACCAGCTGAAGGTCCTCATCTTCTGCCAACCTGACTGGGAGAGGCATTCTGGGCCGCTGGCTGATGGGAGGAGGCTCTGTGCTGCCGTCTGCTGCTGTTCTTGACTGTAGACTCGCAGCAATCGCTCTGAGAATAGAGGATGATGGTGATGGGTGTAAGGTCAAGTCGGAATTTAGACAAAAACTCTTGAATAAATTAAATTAACACACAAATTTACTTACTTTACTTACTTAGTTGCTCCTCTTCTACCTTGGGGTGTAAAGGTTTGCAAGAGAGATCACCAGACGTCTCTATCAGCAGTTTTAACACACACAAAAGTACACTGCGGATAAATTCCCTAGGAGACATGCTTCTTCTTCACTGGTCACATTCTGCCTTTCAGCGCCAGATTATGACGAAGCATCCGGTGCGAGCCTTGGTATGTTCTACACAGATGCTTGTATTTACCGCTTCAGATATTCCATCACTTGTGTGGTCGACCTCTATCTCTGCTTCCATAATGACCAAGTGACAGGGCTCTCTGTTTTGAACTATGTGGTGGTAGTCTTGACACATGGCCGAACAACCTGACCTGTTATCGCTTGATGTAATTTAGTACTGGTCCCATCACAACTTCTTTCCTGATATCATCATTTCTGATTCTGTCTCTTCCAGTTACATTTAGAATTTGCAGTAGATATTTAAAACCCACTGTTTAAATTTTTAAAATGTTGTTGATGACCATGCTTGGTACTGGTAATTAATACAATGTTGGTAAAAATGCTGCACGTATCTTTTGGTGTCAACTGTTACACGTTTACTCTGCAAAACTGGGACAACTGTCCAATAAATTGATTTGCTTTATTACATTTGTGTTCTATCACTGATTTTATTTTTTCATTGGATTATATTATGCTTCCTAGGTACTTGAGTCTTCCGCTTGCTTTAGTTGCTGGTTTTCTATGCACAGCTTGATTTCCTATTCTGTTCTTGCAATAGTCAAAACTTCTGCTTTTTTTTTCTTTCTCTTCAATGTTAATTTTTAGTCAGTAAAATGACAAATTATGTATGCACAGATAAATTCACTATGCAACATACTTCAGTCTACAAAATCATACAGAAATTATGTACACAAATGTACACCACCGTTAAATTCACTATATGACATACTTCTGTCAATAAATTTACAAATTATGTACATTTTTACCTCCACTATGTACATAAATGTACAATGTTATTAATTTTTACCTCCACTATGTACATAAATGTACAATGTTATTAATTTTTACCTCCACTATGTACATAAATGTACAATGTTATTAATTTTTACCTCCACTATGTACACAAATTTACAATGTTATTAATTTTTACCTCCACTATATACACAAATTTACAATGTTATTAATTTCTACCTCCACTATGTACACAAATGTACAATGTTATTAATTTTTACCTCCACTATGTAAACAAACGTACGATGTTATTAATTGTTACCTCCACTATCAGAAATACAGGTGTAGATAAGAACAAAGGTCAAAGTTCACCTACCGCTGCAGCATCTTGTCCTCATCCTCAAGACCAGGCAGATCTTTGCCCTTGTTCAATGCTTCGTAAAATGTCACCTGCCAGGGAACAATTCTCTAGTCAAACACTGACATAGTAAGCAATTACCCCAGTTAATGAAATAGTACCAGATAACTCTAGTCAAACACTGACATAGTAAGCAATTACTCCAGTTAATGAAATAGTACCAGATAACTCTAGTCAAACACTGACATAGTAAGGAATTACCCCAGTTAATGAAATAGTACCAGATAACTCTAGTCAAACACTGACATAGTAAGCAATTACTCCAGTTAATGAAATAGTACCAGATAACTCTAGTCAAACACTGACATAGTAAGGAATTACCCCAGTTAATGAAATAGTACCAGATAACTTTAGTCAAACACTGACATAGTAAGGAATTACCCCAGTTAATGAAATAGTACCAGATAACTCTAGTCAAACACTGACATAGTAAGGAATTACTCCAGTTAATGAAATAGTACCAGATAATTCTAGTCAAATACTGACATAGAAAGAGAAAGCTCCAGTCCACACAGTAGGAGATAACTTTAGTCAAACTTTGACACAGTGAGATAACTAAACACTGAAACAGTCGGAGATAGCTCTAGGAAAACTAGCACAATAGGGGATAACGTTAGTTAAACACTGGCTCAGCAGGAGATAACTTTAGTTAAACACTGATACAGTAGGAGATCTCTAGTAAATACTAGCACAGCAGAGATAACTCTAAACACTGGCACATACGGAGATAACTCTAGTAAATACTAGCACAGTAGGGAATGATTCTAGTCAAACAATGGCACAGTAGGAGACAACTGGAGAGTAGTTGGGTCACTCTTGATATATTGTTGAAGCTGATGTGTTGGCGATTAATGCAAATATGTTAATGATGTGTTGACACTGTGCCGATGTTAGTGCTGTTACGGTATCAATGTGCTGTTTACGATGGTAACTATGTACTGATGCTGATGTGTTAATGTTGATGTCAAAATCAATCTGTTAGTGATGCAGTGATCCTGAACTAGCAGATCCTCAATGTTTACTCCAGAAAAAACCTTTACCTACAAATTTACACACAGAGAACAAAAACGATGCCAGCCTTTACTGATAACCTGAAAACACTTTGGGTTTAAACCCTTTCACCCTGAAAACATTAAACACAAATAGTTCATGCCCCTGTTAGAATTCCAGGAGAAAATAATCTGTACAAACACAAACTTTTACAAAGGTGACTAATAAATTCATTTTAAAAATATTTATCTCCATTTTAAATTTATTTTTTCAAAATATTATGAAAGGGGTAATCACTAAACATGAACAGGGTGAAGCATTCGATGGAATACAATTCTCCGGGGCCTGAAAAACACACAAGCATCAGGTAACTTATGTCGTGACCCTATGACCTCAACCACCGAGGGTTAAGAGAAAAACTGACATTACCTTGGCTTTTAGAAAGCCATTTAACTCTTTTGCTCAAAGGGAAGTTAATGTATTTATATTCTGACTTCTTAAGCATTTGTGCAGAAGTGAAATCAGCCAATAGCATTAGCTATGCGTCTGTAAACAGGTCACTGTAGACAAGTCGGAAAAGTGATATTTGCGGAAAACTGGACGCAACTAGAAATGTCAGTTTTTTGTCTTCTCTCGGTAACAAACATCAGACGTGCAGCTTCCATACTGACCTGGTCATTCTCTGTGCCAGAGTCAACCAGACTTTGTTGTATGGCAAACTGCAGGAGCTGGTCGTCTTCATCTCGTAGCCTTTCGTGATGACCATCTCCACCTGTCCGAAAAAAAAAAATCACAAGTATTACTCACTCTTTTCTAAATGCACGAAAGATATGTTTAATCTCACATAAACAACCGGAAGATATGTCTAGTCTCACATAAACAGCTTGAACATATGTCTAGTCTTAAAAAACATCTTGAAGACAGTCTAGTCTTAACATAAACAGCTTGAAGATATGTTGAGTCTCAAAGTCTCAAAATATGACATACAACTAAAACTGTTACTATCACAAGACGACCGTCTAGAAAGCAATGGACGCAAATTTGCCTAGAAAAACCACAACGCCCAAAAATATGCTGGTTTTGGTTCTGTAACGTCCTGTAAAGGGTACACAACTAACTAGCTCCAACAGTTTTTTGAAGAAGAAAAAAAACAACCTTACTCTGCAGAAGATTCACACCTGCATCTCATGCTACAAAGCCGAGAAAATACAATCCTTCACTAAATTTACATAATGCAAAATAAGCCAAAAATAGTTGAAAGAACAAGCAATCTCTAAAAATTCATTTTATGAACAAGCAATCTCTCAAAAATCATTGAAAGAACAAGTAATCACTCAAAATCATTGAAAGAACAAGCAATCCCTTAGAAATCACTAAAAGAAAAAAGTAATCACTCAAAAATCAATGAAAGAACAAGTAATCACTAAAAATCACTGAAAGAACAAGTAATCCCTAAAAAAATCACTGAAAGAACAAGTAATCACTCAAAAATCATTGAAAGAACAAGTAATCACTCAAAAATCACTGAAAGAACAAGCAAAAGCAATCCCTCAAAAATCTTTGAAAGAACAAGTAATCCCAAAAAAATCACTGAAAGAACAGTAATCACTCAAAAATCATTGAAAGAAAAAGTAATCACTCAAAAATCATCAAAAGAACAAGAATCATTCACCAGAAATTATTTTTAAAAACATACAATCACTCAGTAATGATCTAGGTCACTGGCTATCAATCAGCATGACTTGCGAAAGCTCAACCATGGACCTGTTATTTTTTAATAGTTATACTGAAGATCCTATTAAAGGGCCCTTTTCCACGTCTTCAGGTGTATTGGGCAAACTGGGTTAGACCCATATTTCATAGACCAGTTGGCAGTCGGTGAATGATGTGGTCAACATCATGCCGGCCACCTTTACTTCCCAGGAATTGACCCGGTACCCATTTAAGGCTGGGTCAACCTGGGAGCCAGTGTCATTTTTGAAAAAGTCAGGTTTTGTGAGGATCCAAATCCACGACCTTCCGACCCACAGGTGAACATCTAGCTGCTACACCACGGCGGCTCCCAATTATCTCATTTATAAATATCGGAAACGCAAACAAATTTAAAAAAAAAAAAAACTCAATTTTTCTTCTTTTATTCTGAGTTCATCCAAAGAAGTAAATGTTTTGTGCCCGTTTACAACCTAGCTGCGATATCTGCACCTTTCGGCCAACACATCTGACTTCTGCAGGCATTTGTTGCCTGGGTTAATTTCGTGGGACACTGCAGTCTCATTGCTTCCTAGTTCACATGTGGTACCCCCCCTCCCCCCCCCCCCCCCCCCCCCCCCCATTAGGCCAGTCTAGAGCAGCATGTAATGCTGGTCACACCTCAAGAGAGGCAGGGGCAGAACACGAGAATTCCCCACCATCCAAAGAGCCAATACAAATTCCTTTAAGGCTGGCCTTCTCCAAGGAATTGTCACGTCCTGGACTGCACTCTAAAGTTGAGGGTTTTTAAACAGAAATGTCATTAGGGACCCCCTTAAATTTATTTCGCAGACACTGAAAAGTCTGATCTAAGGAAAATTCGATGTCTCAGCAATATTTAGAAGAACATGCAATTGCTTATAAAACATTGACACAACAGATAATCGCTCTGCAGCCATGTCAAAAGCAAACAATCACTCACCAAGTCGACCGTATCCAGCTGGAGCACTAAAACACTCGTCATCAATGGAGCACGTCAAGTTCTCCTCAGTTTTGACTGGTGTGACATAGAGAGCTTCACTTTCGCTGGCCTGGATGTTTCCGAAAGTGATTCGTGCATTTAGGACATGGAACAATGGGATTTCTGCATTCAAGAAAGTAATAAACAAATTGAGAAATGCTACATAACCACACATATACATAATATGTCCCAAAAAAATAATGCAATAAATAAACTGAGATACTTACATAAACACACACACAAATTGAGAAATAGCATACAAACACATAGACAAATAATATGTCAGAGCAAGAAAGTTAATAAACAAATTGAGAAATACCATAAACATAGACATATTCATACATAATATGTCAGATCAAGAAGGTTAATAAACAAAGTGAGAAATTCCATACAAACACAAACACTTGCATGCATAGACAAACATTGTAAATTGTTCATTATAAGATTATCATTGCACATGATCATAAGTCTCCCCTAAGTACATCGCCAAGTGTTTTAGGCAAACAACTCCCATTCTGTTCTGGTAGATGTGATGACGGGTGGCTCCAGCATGGTTTTCCTGTCTCGTGGCTCCAACTGGTACACAGCAGCCAATAAGGTGAAAAATAATTTTCCAAGAAACTGAAAGTCCCACAGCTTTAAGCCTCTTGTATGCCATTGATGATGTCTCTCTTGTCCATAGATGGCCCAGTCCTAATAGTCACACTACCAGCCAGGGTGACAGAAAACAGGACAGTTTTACCCCTGCGTAGGATCTGGGGCCCCATTTTGGGGTAGAAAAAAAAAACAGATCCTCAGACCTGCGGGCAAGCATGTCTGAGAAGATGATTAATCAGGAGTGGTGAAATTAGATGTGCTTGGCAGAAAGGTAGAGATATCACAGCCTTGCTGTAAACAACACAAAATGTCAACACCCTTATAAGGCGGACAAAGAAAAAGAAAAAACAAAAGAAGAAGAAGAGGAAGAAGAATAAGGAAGAGGAGGAGGAAGAGAGTGAAAAGAAGAAGGAGGAGGATGCGAAGAAGAAGAAAGACACATTTAGGAAAGTTGACACACACAGACCACAGGTGACAGCAGATTAGAGTGAGTAATCTAAATTAATACAGTAAAAACTCGTTTACATTAAGTTTATAAGGCCGAAATCAAGTTTATGTTAAAACAAATTTTTATGATGTTGGTTTTAAACTCACAGTCAACAGAGCATACTAGGTAGATCACACATATTATTATAAATCAGTGGTTCTCAACCTGCCGTCGCAATGCTTTTTTGGTGGGGGTCGAATTACCCTTTCACAGGGGTCACCCAAGACCATTGGAAAACACATATTTACTGAAGTTATAAAGGAACAAAACTGTTTGGGGGTTGCCACAACATGAGGGAACTGTTTTAAAGGGTCAGCGCATTTAAAAGGTTCAGAGCCACTGATCTAAAAGGATTTTTTTTAAAAATACTGACCAATTTTGATAGGAAACCCTGCAGGCAACTGTAAGGTGATGAAGTCACGAAGTTTGGCGAAGTGAGCATTGCTCTGTGCCATGAGGTCGATAATGGGAATAACTTGCTCCTGCAGGGACAGAGGGTAGCCTTCACACAGCCACAAACTGGCCTTGAACTTCTGAACTTTGACAGCCTGCTCTTTGGGCCGGCCTATGTCCTTGTCACCAAGGTCAATCAGTGAATTGAAATATTCCTCTGGTGTGATGTTGCCGGGGTTGTAAGACACCACTGTCGACAGCTGCAGGAACACAATCAGCAAGTTAACACAGAATGTCACAAATTACAAGATAGTTAACATTTAATGTTACAAACTTCAGATAGTTTACATTTAATGTTACACACTTCAGATAGTTAACATTAAATATTACAAATGTCAGATAGTTAACATTCAATGTTAGAAACTTTAAACAGTTAACATTTAATGTCATCAACTATAGACAGTTAACATTAAATGTTACAAACTGCATACAGGTAACATTTAATGTCACAAACTACAGAAAATTAACTTTTAATGTCAGAAACAGACAACATATTGTACACAAACTACAGACACGAATATGAACACCATATGTCTTTGACCCAAGAACAGAACAGATAAAAGAAACCCTCAACCATCTATGCCAGATGAGTGGACAGAAAAACTTATGAAGAATCGGAAAACAAAGAATAAATTATTGTACAGGGTGTCCCATAAGTTTCTGTACATCGGATAAATAAACACATCACCAACACCATCAGAAGCATCATTTCAACTGAGCTTATACGAGTTCTTCATAAGTGGAGGATGTGCATCGAAATATGTTTTCCTACGCTAGGTATTACATGGAAAGATCCACTTAGGAACAACGACATCAGGAGAGACTGCACAGAACCAAAACTGAACTTTATCTGTAGATAAAAAAAGAAATGGTTTGGCCAAGTAACAAGACTGGCACGAGACAGGGCATCATAGAGGGCAAAATTATTCAGATACATCAGCAACAGAGCCGTAGGTAGACCGCAAAAATACTAGAGACAGTGACAAGTAAAATATACACAGCGAACCAAAGGGGCCTGTTCCAGAGATCTCTTCCTATCCCTACGCTGCGAGGTGTTTCAGAAATAAAATGGAATAAGGAAACTTATAGAATATCATGTAGTTGATTTAAAAAAAACAAAATGAAGATATAATGAATGCAGGCCAACTGACCCCTTCTAGACTGCTGCTGCTGCTGGACGTGGTGCTGACGGCCTCCTCTGCCGTGCCGAGGAATGACTCTAGTGGGGTTTTGCTGATGGACTTCTTGGCCTTCTGCTTGTCCTTGCCAGCCAGGTGTTCTGTGCGAGTCTTGGTGACCAGCTCTACGTTGTTGGCTGTGAAAACCTGGGCAGAAAACAAGCTGCTGAAGAAGGCTTGGGTTTACCACATTAATGTCATTAGCTTTGTGCTTGAAACTCATCAGTTTTATTGCTCACATGTCATTGGTTCAGTGCTCACATGCCATCAGTACTCTTAAGTGATTAAATAGTACTGAAATATGATCAGCTTTGAGCTCATATGTCATCAGTTTACTCCTAAAATGTCATCAGTTCATTGCCCACATGTCATCAGCTTGTTGCCCACATGTCATCAGTTTAGTGCACACATGTCATCAGTTCAGTGCACACATGCCATCAGTACTCTAATGTGATTAATTTAGCGCTGAAATATGATCAGATTTGAGCTCAAATGTCATCAATTTACTCCTAAAATGTCATCAGTTTAGTGCACACATGTCATCAGTACTCTAATGTGATTAATTTAGTGTTGAAATATGATCAGATTTGAGCTCAAATGTCATAAATTTACTCATAAAATGTCATCAGTTCAGTGCATGCACATCATCAGTTCAGTGCTCACATGTGATTAGTTCTCTAACATGAGTTCAAATGCCATCGGTATCGTTCATTATGCTACATGAAACGGTGCTGGTGGTTCTTCACCTCCAGGATTACTGTCTGCAGGATACATGCCTCAAGGATAAGACAGGTTTAGTGTTTAAACAACAGATCAACATCACAGCACACGGGTAGTCACCCATAAGTGCTTTGTTCTACTTCTAACTCAAGCCTAAGTCAGAAGATTCTCAGAGCAGTGCACGAATTTTTAGGGACTCGCACTCAACAATACAAATGGGCGTCTGATCTTACTACCCAGAGACCAGGGAAAATTACTAGAAGTCCATGTGAAAAAAATCACAGCTTTCGGCGTGGCTCGAACCTAGGACCTCCATTACACAATGTGAACACCATGCCTCGTGACCATGCAGCCCCCCCCCCCCCCCCCCCCAGGATAAAAATCAAACAGGAGGAAATCCCAATGCTATGTACAATAGTTAACAGATTTATGCATAAATAATCAAGCAAACAGAGGCATTCATGTACCAACATTTACATACTTTGCAGTCGTATCCATTAATGGGCTCCATTTTGTCACTTCTCCAACCCCAAATCCCAGACTTGCTCCTGGAAGTGATGATAAAACAGTGAGTTGTCAGGGGACAACACAGAAACTTTTCAGGGGACAACACAGAGACTTTTCAGAGGACAACATGGGGACCTGTCAGGTGACAAAAGGGGACAATTTGAAGGGCTCATCAGGAAACAACATGGGAACTGGACAACATGAGGGACTTGTCAGGGGACAGCAAAGGGACAATTTGAAGGGCTCATCAGGGAACAACATGAGGGCTTAGGGGACAACATTAGGACAATCTGAAGGAAACATGGGGACTTGTCAGCGGATAACAAGGGGACTTGTCAGTAAACAATGGGATTTGTCAGAAGGCAGCAAGGAGAGAGGGATCTGTCAGGAAAAAATATGGTGACTTGTCAGAAGACAACATGGGGACCTGACAGAAGACAACATGGAGACTTGACAGGGGACAACAAGGGAACCTGACAGAAGACAACATGGAGACTTGACAGGGGACAACATGGGGACTTGTCAGTAAACAATGGGATTTGTCAGGAGGCAGCAAGGAGACAGAGATCTGTCAGGAAAAAACATGGAGACTAGTCAGGAGACAACATGGGGATCTGACAGGGGCTTGTCAGGGGACAACACAGGACTTGCCAGTGGACAACAAGTCATGCCTCTTGTACAGCTGTCAATAGTCACATTCCTTGTTCAGCTACATGATACCTGCATTCTAAAAACAGTGTCCTGGGTTCAATCCTACAATTTATATACAGTAAAATCATGTTTAACAAATAAGAGAACAATCCTTTGGGTAGAACAGATTGCATGAGAATCTGAAACACTGATGCCCAGAAGCTTCTGAAATCCTAACACTTTGTTTTAACCATGACTACAATCTGGTATTGGTGTGATGCCGACCACAACACCCACAGATATGAGTCTAGCATCATTTATCCACTGCACCCATCATCATCATGCAGCAGGTCCTTTGCAGAACGTCATTCTCATCATGTTCTGCCAGAAAGAAACTCAATCTCTCAACAGCTCTGCCGCCTTGTGTACTTTCTTTCATACTCTAGGGGTCACTTATATACTATGCCCATTTTTGTGCTGGTCAGCCCGGTCCTTTCTTCCTGGTACTATGCCTTCTGTTATTATTTTTTCCAATCCACTGTGGTGCTTGATATGACCAAAATATTTCAGCTTCTCAGATGCTGTTTATTAGCCACCAATCTTCCTTGATGTTCAGATCTTTCAAGATGTCAGTATTTCTCCTCTTCTTTGTCCAAGATATTATGAGAATCTTTCTATAGCATTTCAGCTCAAAAGCCCCTATTCTCTTTCTTAAGGACTGGGGGATAGTCCACGACTCACATACTGTGCCACTGACACACACAAAAAAGAGTCTATTACTTCCAGACTGTTTGTGTTGGCACTTCTGATGGCTGCCTTATGCATTAAATGCATGTGCATGTTACTTGCGTTGCTAAGACTCCTGTCTGTGTCAATTTGTTTCAAAAGGGACAGTGACAGGCATTCTGTGTGGTTTTTCGTTGGCACAGGAATGATAGTAACTATGGGGGTGACCACAGGAACGATAGCAACTATGGGGGTGACCACAGAAACGATAGCAACTATGGGGGTGACCACAGGAACGATAGCAACTAGGGGGGTGACCACAGGAACGATAGCAACTATGGAGGTGACCCATTAATATAATAACTGACCTTTCAAATGAAATTCTATTAGTGTCAACATATGTGGTGCATGCTGGCGATGTCAGCCTGGCCGCTACAGCTTCCTCTGAGGGCCGCATGACCGAAGATTCGGCTGATGTAGGCAACACGCGAATAATTTCCTGGTAAACTTCACGCAGGTCATGATCGACCTCCATGATTGATGCAGAGTTGTCACCTGGCAATGAGAAAACAGACATAATAGTCATCTAGAGCAGGGGGTGTTTCAAGAATCAAGTCATTCTCGTTATAGATCAAACATGTAGCATAAGTGGTTAAAGAAAGCAAATCAAATGGTTTGCCCACTTGGAGAGAATGCCTTCTGATGCTATACCATTCAAGGCATATACCAAAAGAGAAGAGGGACGTAGAGCAAGAGGTAGACCAAGAACAACATGGAAGAGAAACTCTACAGTACCACAACATGTTTTCGGTGGAAGCAGCCAGAAAAGCATAAAGCAGGAACTGTTATCTCTCTCGACACCCAAAATGGTAAAAGAAGACGTAAAGAAGAAGCGTCACATAGTATGAGAGAGAGAGAGAGAGATTGAGAGTGAGTGGGGGTTTGGCAGAGAGATAGAGGAGGAAGAAGTAGAAAAGAAGGGAGGGGAGAGAGAAACTGCTGGGATGAGAAGAGTATGACAGGGCTGTCAAAAAACTAAATATAACAAATAAACTTATAACTATAAGGGACATATAATTTTATAATTATAGCATAACAGACACAACAAGTTTATAACTATAGCCACAACAGACACAACAAGTTATAACTATAGACATAACAGGAGCCGCCGGGGTGGAGAGGCTAGACGCTCGCTGCGGATTGGAAGGTCGTGGGTTCACTTCCTGTCGGAGCCAGACATTTTTTTTTTAAATGACTTTGGCTCTGAGGTCCACCCAGCCTTGAGGGGGTACCGGGTGCAGTCCCGGTAAGTAAAGGCGGCTAGCGTGATGCTGACCACATCACCCATCTTGTGCCGATTGGTCTATAAAATACAGGTCTAGGCCTATATGCCCTTAATGCCTAAAGGCATGGAAAAGGGTCTTTTACTTACTTTTACACAACAGACCTAACAAGTTATAACTAAAGCCGTAACAAGTTATAGCTATAAAATCTGCAATTATACATCTATCCTAACAATAATCTGTTTCTATACAGCTCAACAAACCAGTCATGTTACTGCTATGATGTAACCGACAGAACTATAGCTCCAGCATAGTTATCACCGTAAGAAAAGGACCCCCCATGCTCTGCATACAGTGCAAGATCTATAATTATAAACCAATCAGCACTCGAGGGGTGATGTTGTTAACATAATGCCAGCCGCCTTTACTTTAAAGAACATTATCCAGGTTGACTTTTGATACAGATGTGAACGCAAGACCTTCAGACCAGGGACTATCTAGCCACATCTGCCACTTATCAATCGACAGTTCTGATTAAACAATAACGGCCGCTCAAGACCCGCCAGCTTGTGGACATAACTGCAAGAAATCTGCTACTTTGAAGATGTAGCTATAACATACAACAAATCTACAATTTTGAATATGTTATAACATACAACAAACATGCCACTTTGAAGATGTAGCTATAACATATAACAAACCTGCCACTTTGGAGATGTAGCTGTGACTGCCTATCTGCCAGGTCATGTTGTATATATAACATATAACCTACCACTTTGAAAATGTAGCTATAACATACAACAAACCTACCACTTTGAAGATGTAGCTATAACATACAATAAACCTGCCACTTTGAAGATGTAGCTATAACATACAATAAACCTGCCACTTTGGAGATGTAGCTATAACATATAACAAACCTGCCACTTTGAAGATGTAGCTGCGACTGCCTCTCTGCCAGGTCATGTTGTCAAACCCAAGGAGTGTTGTGTCAATACGTACGCTGGAACCTGTAGGGACAACATGATAACCGACTACACTGACATGTCAACCGATTAAAGTAACAAGACAAGATGTCTACAGACTACACTGACATGTCAACTGATTAAAGTAACAAAACAAGATGTCTATAGACTACACTGACATGTTAACTGACTAAAGTAACAAGACAAGATATCTATAGACTATACTGACATGTTAACTGACTACCACTGACATGTCAACTGACTATACTGACACATCAAATGACCACCAATGATATTTCACTGACTACAATGACAGGAGTAGACATATCACCTGACTGCAGTGACAGGTGTAGACACGTCACCTGACTAAAGTGACAGGGGTAGACACATCACTTGACGCCAATGACAGGTGTAGACATGTCACATGACTAGAGTGACAAGGGTAGAGGGTAGACATGTCACCTGACCCCAGTGACAGGCGTAGACATGTCATATGACTTAAGTGACTGGGGTAGACAGGTCATATGACCTCAGTGACAGAAGTAGACATGTCACATGACTTAAGTGACAGGGGTAGACAGGTCATATGACCTAAGTGACAGAAGTAGACATGTCACATGACTACACTGAGATAAACAGCATCTCACCTACTTCATCAATGGTTTTTCAACCTTTTCCAGGTGGTGCAACCCTTGAATATATGACAAGACCCCTCCCCCAATTAAATCTATAATTAATTGCAAGAGTTATCCTATCAATTAGATTTTTAATAAAAACAAAAAATGCCCTTAGCTTTATTTTTTACAAATAGTTTTTTTTTTTTTTTTTTTTAAATTTATAATTCAACACCACAAAAATTAATGTAATGAGAATAGGCAGGAAACATCATGAACATTCATGTTAACGGTACTACAATCAAACAAGTACGAGAATTCAAATATCTAGGAAGCATATTTACAGAGGATTGTAGACTCGAAAGAGAAACAGAAGCCAGAGTACAAAAGGCAAATGATGTCACCTAGCAGTTAGCTCCACTGCTAAGATACCCAAATGTCTCCATTTCAGTAAAACAGCTAATGATTAATAGCATCTTAATCCCTACTTTATGCTATCAGTGCCAAACATGGACAATGAGTTGGGCACTAGAACAGAAAAATAACTACATGCGAAATGCGCTGTCTCTTCAAGGTCAGTAACAACACTAGACAAGACAGGGTTACGAATACCAGCATTAGGGAGAAAATTGGAATAAGACCACGACTGGATTATACTGACAGAAAAGGAATGAAATGGTCAGGCCATCTAGTGAGAATGCAACCAGACCAAACTGCATATGAGACTTTTTACAGTAGAACATCTGGGAGGAAGGCGAGAGGAAGACCAAGAAAGAGATGGATAAATGGTGTAGCTAAAACCTGCAAAAAGATGAACAAATCCATCACTCAAGCCATCCAAGAAGCCCAAGACAAATACAGAAAACCAGGACCCTGGGCTACAACCTGGTCACAGTGAGACGACACTAAAAGAAGAAGAAGAATTTATAATTAAACTGGACAAAATGTTAGAACAGACTATTACAAGTATGAATCACATCAATTTCAAAACCCCTCTTGAAACTTCCTAGTGCCCCCCCCCCCCAGATGTCGATTCAGAAAATGGTAAGTAGCCTGGGGTCACAAAACTGACCGTGCCTTATGTGATTAAATGCATGTGTAACTACTGATTTGTTGTAACTGCTAGTTACACCAATGACGAACTGCAATCTAGTGCTAGACTATCTGTGTTGGCACTTCTGACTGCTGCCTTATGCATTTAATGGGTGTTTATGCTACTAGCTTTGCCAAGACTGCAGACTGTGTACATTTCTCCACAAGAGACTTTGATGGGAATTCTACAAGTATGTAGTTTTTGTTGGCATAGAAACAGAGCAATTATGAGGTGACCTGTTTGCTGCAAAAATGGAACTGTGATAATCTGATAACTGACTGAATACTGAGCATGTTGATCTAAATTAAAGACACAGGCCAAGCAATGAGCTGCTCAGACTCCCCAATGGGGTCTTAGAAAGACTGCACTGTAAGGTCTCAGACAGAATGTACCGTCGGGTCTTAGACAGACTGTACCATCATGTTTAAGACAGACTGCACCATCAGTCTTAGACAGACTGCACCATCAGTCTTAGACAGACTGCAACATGAGGTCTTAGACAGACTGCATCATGAGATCTTAGACAGACTACACCGTAAGGTCTTGGACAGACTTCACCTTGAGGTTTTAGAAAGACTTTACTGTGAGATCTTCAGCAGCTTGAGACCTGGACCAACAACTTTACTGACCCAACAAAATAACACGAATAAATCACGAGATAACAAACTCACTGACCTCTTTTCCAGACTTTGTAAGTATCACTAGGACACATCCTGGAAATCAGCGGAACTGAAACAGTTAGAAAATTGTGGAAGTGATCAATTCGAAGGCAATTTGTAGCTGTGACAATTCTAACGTGCAAGTCATTCCTTCATCAATTTAGACAGTAATGAAGAGGCTAGTAATACAGGCAGTAGTTAAAAGACCACACAGTAATACTAACAGTAATGAAGAGACCACACAGTAATAATGACAGTAATGAAGAGACCACAAAGTAATACTGACAGTAATGAAGAGACGATAAAGTAATACTGCCTGAAATAAAAAAAAATCACACAGTAATACTGACAGTAATGAAGAGACCACACTGTAATACTGACAGTAATGAAGAGACCACACATTAATACTAACACTAATGAAGAGACCAAACATTAATACTAACAGTAATAAAGAGACCACACAGTAATACTGACAGTAATGAAGAGACCACACAGTAATACTGACAGTAATAAAGAGACCACACATTAATATTAACAATAATGAAGAGACCAAACAGTAATACTGAAAGTAATGAAGAGACCACACAGTAATACTGACAGTAATGAAGCGACCACACAGTAATACTGCCTGTAATAAAAAAGACCATCCAGCAATACTGAAAGTAATACATGAGACCACATAGTAATACAGATGATATTGTAGAAATCATGCAGTTATATAATTATTAATCTAGAGACCAAACAGCAACATAACAAGTAATCTACAAACCATAAGGTCATATAGACAGTAATGTAAAGATTATGCAGTAATATAGGCAGTAATGTAGAGATCATACAATAACACATGTAAAAACTATCTTACCCCAGCTTGTGAACTCCCATTTCATCTCCACATAAAAATCTGGTGACTGGAAACAATTGTATTTTTTGTTAGACTACTGCTATAGATGCTCAAGACTTTAGGTATAGAGTACACAAGACTTTAAGTATAGAGTCCACAAGTTAAATATAGACAAGACTTTATGTATAGAGTACACAAGTTAAATATAGACAAGACTTTATGTATAGAGTACACAAGTTAAATATAGACACGACTTTAAGTATAGAGTACACAAGTTAAATATAGACAAGACTTTATGTATAGAGTACACAAGACTTTAGGCACAGAGTATACAAGACTTAAGGTATTGAGTACACAAGACTGAATGTAAAAGTACACAAGACTTTAAGTATTGAGTACTCAAGACTTTAAGTATAGACAAGACTTTATATATAGAGTACACAAGACTTTTGGTACAGAGTACTGAAGACTAGGTATAGAGTACACAAGACTTTAGTTATAGACAAGACTTTATGTATGAAGTACTCAAGACTTTAGGTATGGAGTACACAAGATTGTATGTACAGAGTACACAAGACTTTAGGTATAGAGTGCACAAGATGTTAGGTATAAAGTACACAAGATTTAAGGTATAGAGTAAACAAGACATAGAGTTAACTAGCATCTAGGTATTGAGAACACAAGCATCAAAGTGTGGAGAAAACAAGACTATAGGGGTGGAAACCTCAAGACTCTAGGTGTGGAGAACACAAGACTTTAGGAGTGGAGAGCACAAGCATCTGGGTATAGAATACACAAGACTCTAAGAGTGGAGAACACAAGACTCTAGGTATAGAGTACACAGGGTAAATTTTATTTCATTATACTTGGTGTGATCAAGTAAAATGCTCTGTGAAAGATGGGTGTTAAGACAGGCCAAATATAAGACAGGCCTGAGTGCCCAATTTGTGACCCTTTGAAAGTAAAGTTATTTCATTCATTCATTCTCTAACCACAACATTTACTTGTGTTAGAGATAATGTGAAGCCAGCTATTTCTACTTTTTATCTAGTCTGATATATTTTCAGGACTACTGTATCATTAGTCTTAGTCCTAGTCAAGATTTCAACTACACTCCGATCGGGTTATAACATATACGCTCCGTTCCTGTGCCACTGACAATCAAATGAAATGTTCCTCGCTGTCCTATTTGAAAAGCTGGTGAACAAACATAAGTCCCGGCACAATCCAGAAATATGCACATGCAGTAAATGCATATGGCAGTTGCTAGAGGTGCCAAAACCTAGTCGCCACCTGAAATCTAGTTTGTCATAAATGGAAGCAGTCGGGCACGATAAGCTATACACACGTATAATTATTACATAAGGTATTTCGCCAGCTCACACATAAACCGGCTACTAGCCACATTAAATGCAATGACTCAATCGCTGAACAAATAAAAGGCATTCCACATGAAAAAAAAACACAGCTCACAGTGCTGCACCAAGCATTAAACTCAGTAGCTCAGGCAGTAAAACTGGAGACAACAGTCCATGTGTGGAAACTGCATTAGCAAAGCACTGTCAGAAGCAAAAATAACTTTAAAGCTTATTACTTTGCAGTGCCTAGTCCTCCATTTGTCTGTGTCATATGCTGATGTAGGCTTTTTAGCCAAAACGACTGAAGACATTAGACAAATATTTCAAACATCACAGCTAATCATCAGAGTAAGCAACTGACAAGGAAAATGCAACGAACCAACTGTATGTAAGTTAAGCAAGTAAGTAAAGGACCGTTTTCAGGTCAGATTGGCATAATATCATAAACTCATATTTGACACTCGGTGGGTGATGTATTTCCCATAATCCGGCCACCTTTACTTTCCAAGATATTATCTGGTACCCATTTTAGGATGATCTGACCTGGGAGTTTAAGTTGGTTGTGTATCCTTTACAGGACATGGCAGAACCAATCCTAACATTTTTAAGCTGCTGTGGTTTTTCTAGGCAAATTTTACATTCAGTAGTTTGCCACTGCTTACTGAATGGTCTGTTTTTGGTATCACTATCGAAACCTAGGCAAAATGTTCCTGCTGTCGAAACATCAGCAGCTGAGATCAAACCCGGCACCCCAGCATTACGAAGCCGGTTTGCAACACCTAAGCCACAGACGCCAATGGGAGCTTTTGTTAAGTGCTAAAAAATCATCTGCCTCGATGTGGAGTCAAACACATGACTTACGGGCCTACAGGTGAGTGTCTAGGCATTATACTACTGTGGCTCCCACCAACTTCATAGGGAAAAAGATCAGCAATTATCAGAGAGGAAATGAACAAACCTCCTCCAGTTTCCTGAGCAAGTCTGGCACTCCAAATGTTCGCTTGGAATATCTTTGAAAATCTCGGTACTGCAGAACCAGCTGAACAATCTCGGGGTCTCCGGTACAGACTGCCTCATGGAGAACTGTGGACCAGAGCATTGCATTTACAGTTTAGAGTCTAGGATAAAAGGTGCTACAACTCACTCCAAAGTGATGGGCCAGCTGAGTGGTCTCGAGGCATGGTTTCCGCCTTGAGTGATGGAGGTCCTGGGTTTAAGCCCCGGTGAAGGCTGGGATTTTTTAACATGGACTTCCAGTGATTTCCCATGGTCTCTGGGTAGCGAGATCGGATGCCCGTATGTATTCTTGCGAATGAAAACAAATCACTTGGCAGTCGGAAATCGAAAAAAGTAGCCTAATGGCGCTGCCCGGGCAAAACTTGGAGTTAAAAATCTACTCAAAGTATTTCAGGATACTCGCCAGTGCAACGGAGTTCGTGCATTGCGCTATTCTTCAGACTAAGGCTTGAGTAAGAAGTAGAACAGAGCACTTATGGGTTACACCCGTGTGCCATGATGTTGATTCACCAAATAAACATAAACATTAAAAAAACTATAAAGTGTCTAAGCAAAAGAGGTGCCAGTACTGCATACTGTCGTGTACCACTAGAAGAAAGAAGAAAAAAGCCCTGGGTTTATGATAGAACTTGTTCTTCTTCTTCTCTTTCTCCAGTTACCTCATCAAAGTGGAGAAGAGATGACATAATTTTCTGTATGCTTCTTCTAATGTATAGTATAATTTGATCGTTATCTCATTTAGGCTGTTCTTGATGCTGCTGGTCCATCTTTAACATGGTTTCCCTCTTGTAATACAGGTAATCGGAGTTCCCACTTAAAGCAAAATGGTCACCTCATAGTTGCTCAGTTTATGTGCCAATAACAAAAATCACACAGAATATCCATCACTGTCCCATGTGGAAAAAACCCAATACAGACTGCAGTCTCAACATAAAAGTCAACTAATTAGGAGGTTATTCCTTTGAAGCGCATCTGCCTGAAAAGTGAGGAACCAACAGTCTGCATACAAATGAAAAAGATCTGTAAACGGATGTGCATGTAAAACTCAGGTTCTGAAACAAGACTCAAGTCCACAAGTGGACAAAGAACTAGAACTGCCTGTCAGAATTTACAGTGGGTGAACAAACAAGAGGAAGATGCATGAACTTACCTGACCAGTATCCTTTATTTTCAGCGTTGGCGTTGGCCCCATGACGCAGAAGTACTCGTGTGCTCTCTAGGTGACCTAAAGCCACCGCCAGGTGAAGTGGTGTACGCCCCCGTGGATCTGCAAGCTCAATATCATGCTGGAAGAAAGATTTAAGGAAGTCTTCAAGATTATAAATAAGGTTAGTATCAGATAAGTCTGATGGTTAGAAAGCCCTTGAACTTTGGCATTGTGAAATGATTCTATATGTTAATTGCAAAATAGACACTTCATGGGTGATGGTCCAGAGCAAAGAAATGGTGACCAATAGGATTTACTTTCTAGATGAAACATACACATTGACAGATGGTAACACACAAAGAACCCTTTCCAGAGGCATGTAGCACATTTGGCATATACTGTTAGACCTATATTTTTAACTGGTGGTACCTTGTACAATTAATTGCATGTGCAACTACTGGTCTGTTCTAACTGCTGCTTAAGCGATGATGAACTATATTTCTAGCATTGGACTGTTTGTGCTGGCACTTCTGTTGGCCGCCGTTGGTATTTAATGAGTGTGTATGCTACTGGCTTTGCTGAGACTCTAGTCTGCGTCAATATATTCATTAAGGATAGTGATTGACATTCTGTGTGATTTCCGCTGACACAGAAACAGAACAATGGATAGTGATGGACATTCTGTGTGGTTTCCGTTGGCACAGAAACAGAACAATGGATAGTGATGGACATTCTGTGTGATTTCCGCTGACACAGAAACAGAACAATGGATAGTGATGGGCATTCTGTGTGATTTCCGCTGACACAGAAACAGAACAAGGGATAATAATGTATATTCTGTGTGGTTTCCGTTGGCACAGAAACAGAACAATGGAGAATAATGTACATTCTGTGTGGTTTCCGTTAACACAGAAACAGAACAATGGACAATAATGTACATTCTGTGTGGTTTCCGTTAACACAGAAACAGAACAATGGATAATAATGTACATTCTGTGTGGTTTCAGCTCGCACAGAAACAGAACAATGGATAATAATTGACATTCTGTGTGATTTCCGCTGGCACAGAAACAGAACAAAGGATAATAATGTACATTCTGTGTCGTTTCCGTTGGCACAGAAACAGAACAATGGATAGTGATGGACATTCTGTGTGGTTTCCGCTGGCACATAAACAGAACAATGGATAATAATGTACACTCTGAGTGGTTTCCGTTGGCACAGAAACAGAACAATGGATAATAATGTACATTCTGTGTGGTTTCAGTTGGCACAGAAACAGAACAATGGATAGTGATGGACATTCTGTGTGGTTTCCGCTTGCACAGAAACAGAACAAAGGATGGTGATGGACAATCTGTGATTTCCGCTAAAGCAGGATCGGAACATCTATGTGGTGACTTATTTCCTATGAAGTTGCAACTTGATTAGCTATATATTTTATAGACCACTTGGCACTCAATGAGTGAGGTAGTAAATCATACCAGCTGCCTTTACTTCCCAGGACACCTGAATCGATCTGGGAGACCAGGTTAATTATGAAAGAAATCCACCTGAGAGACGATAATGCTTCATGAAATAAACTACAGATAAGGTTGGTGTAATCAGGAAACTGATATCTGAGGTTCTGGCGAAAATAGGAATGGAAAGAGACAAGTAAAATGTTTTAGCCACATTAAAAGATATCATCACCATGTAGGCTGTCAAGTTCACAACATCGTACAAAACCCACACTGAAGGGAGAAGATGAAGGCAGATAATCAAAAGATAGAAAGCAATACAAGTGGGAGAATGACATTAAGAAATGGACGAACAGCAGTCTCAGAAAGTTTACAGAAATAAATAGATGGGAAACCTTGAGGCAGTAAACATATTATACAGTGATACCTCAGTATTTGTTTACATTGGTATACATTCTTCTTCTTGTTTTTTTTTATTCACGACTGTATGCTCAAGCAGAAAGCCCTGGTTGTTCGTCCATTTGGACTCTGGCTTTGTGCCTGTGCATCCGTTTTACTGGCTTATCTGTGTGCAGTTGATTGTTCCTTCCGCACTACAATCTGAGGCTATTGAAGTCCCCAATAAGTCGACTCCTACGGCATCCTTGTTGAGGGGTCAGTGGGTCTATTTTTGTTTTCGCCACAATGGGACCCCCCAACCCACCCAGGGATGGTAAACATTCAACTTGGTATAAGTCCTGTTTAGACGCAAACATTATTCCTTGGTATATGACCTGTGTTTGGAACATGACCTGTGTTTGGAACACGACCTATGAGTTACAACTTGTGTGACTCTAAATTAGTCCCAATGCCGCACTTTATCTTTTTTTACCTCTCTCGAGACAAAGCCACAGACAGATGTCAATTATTGCAGAGAATTATCATCCCAATTTAACTCTCTCGAGACAAAGCCACAGACAGATGCCAATTATTGCAGAGACATATCATCCCAAATTAACTCTCTCGAGACAAAGCTATGGACAGATGTCAATTACTACAGAGAATTACCACCCTGACAAAGCTCAAATAACCAGTAATAACGTTATCTAGAGTGACCAGACACTATCACATTATTGAAACACATCCCAGGAGAAGGCAGAAGCAAAGTTCTTTGGACACATTGTTTATTTTGGTACAAGTCAAACCTGATGAGCCTCAACCAGGTCCCAGTAGGGAAAACAAAAGAGAGAGAAAACAAACACCACAGTTTCAGTTTTAGGGAAAAGGGGACTCTCCTTCCAAACATAAACATCTCACCATCCTCCTTTCTCTGTACCATTCTAGCAGGCACTCAACTCGTTTGCATGAAACCAGAAAGTTCACTGCCTCTTACCGTTGAATGTGGAGAGAGCTGATCAGACAGTCAACAGAAACTGTGACCCAGGGACATGCAGTGTTATGGGACAATGATAGCTGAGTATCAGGCAGTACAGAAATCATTTTATACAACCTCGTCAATGTATCATGTGCCAAAAACTACATTTTGTCATAGGAACAGAATAATCATTTTCTGTGTATTTATTTTTGGACAATTCATTTGGTATAAGCCCTGGCTGGTACATGTTCAAGGATCAGGAACATGTACTAATCGGCACTCATAGAAATAAGTAGAAAGACAGAAGGAAACACTAAACAAACAAAAAAATCAAAAGCTTTAGTTACCGTGCCATAAATCAAACCTGTCACCTCCGAATGACAGCACCTTGCAGCAGAAACAAGTGAACTAAGTCACATGACCAACTATGCACCCCTAAAAAAGGTGTCTTCATTAGCCATAGAGCCTGAATCTACAACTATGAAATACAGACAGAATTTGTCTCAATCTACTGAAATGGCACCACGTGTTACATACATTTATATTACCCAAGCATACAAAAGCAGCTGGCTAAATCTTTACTAACGCTGGGCTCTCAAACAAGAGACCCAGGTATGAATCCTCTGTAAGGTCTTGGATTTTTTCTGTCATCAGCAGGTGGGGGAAATAATAAAATCCTAACCTGCAGTCCGTGGAGACAGCACTAACCGTAAATCCTCATGCTCAAAGACTTCACTCCCACCTATAACTTGCCGTCCTTTTTAGGACCAAATTTTTCATTATTTGAAGCCCCACCTTGGCTCTTGCCAGGGACTGCAATATAGCCTGGCCATAAATATGGCCAACTGGCTGAACGCAGTTTCTGGGACCTCTCCACGGTGATCCTCATCCACATGGTGGCACTTTGTGTCATCGGGTGTTTATCGCTTGTATGATGTTCTGGTGGGGTAGAAATTCAGTCAGTCAGTCAGACTTCCCTCCCATGCCTTCACAAAACAAGTGGTAAATATAGGCAGTAATAGCAGTTTTTAAGCATAAATTGAATAACAAATGCAACGATAATTCTAGAAACACCAGAGAGGGTATAACCAGGACAAAAGACAGTGTGCTGGAGATTCTTCACAGTCAACCTTCACTGACTGACTGATCAATCTTTATCAATAATGTAAGAAACCTGCCTGCCATGATAGACCAATGTCAAATGACTGCCACTGGTTAGGACCAATGTCAAATGACTGCCACTGGTTAAGACCAATGTCAAATGACTGCCACTGGTTTAGATTAATGTCAAATGACTGCCAGTGGTTAAGATCAATGTCAAATGACTGCCACTGGTTAAGATCAATGTCAAATGACTGCTACTGGTTTATTACACTTAAGTCATCTTGCCATCATGCAAGCAGAATACCACACTATCAACATACATTGACCAAAGTTCCAAAAGAAAATGAGAAAGAGAAACAAATAAAATACAAAAGTTGCACATAACTGACACAGATACAGAAATGTACCAGCAGTGTATGTCATTTTCCCTGTTTTCACCAGCACTGTGGTGTCTATTTTAACATCTGGAACAATCTGCTCAAATATCTGAGTCTAAGTAACAACAGGTATTGGCATGGCTTTTTTTCTAGGAAAACAAAAAGATGCTAGCACTCAACACTAAGTGGTGCAGGTTATCAACACTGTCTTATTGAGGTGCCGGTTATCAACACTAAGTGTCTTATTGAGGTGTCGGTTATCAACACTAAGTGTCCTATTGAGGTGCCGGTTATCAACACTGTCTTATTGAGGTGCCGGTTATCAACACTAAGTGTCTTAGTGAGATGCCGGTTATCAACACTAAGTGTCCTATTGAGGTGCCGGTTATCAACACTAAGTGTCTTAGTGAGATGCCGGTTATCAACACTAAGTGTCCTATTGAGGTGCTGGTTATAAACACTAAGTGTCTATTAGAGTAGTGCTAAAAAAAATACCTGAAGAGAAAAAAGGTGCCGGTATTATGTACTGATGTGTACTGCAAGAAAACAGTCCTACGTACTGGACAGACATACTTAGCCAGCCTTCACAGGAAATTTCTAAAATCATACTGTGTAGTGAAGAGAAATAATGTGGATTGTGTTATATGTTCATGGATGGGATTGTTATCATATTGTGTGATGGGTGAAGAATGAAATGTAAGCAAGTAAAAGTAAAGGTCCTCTTTCTTTTCACATCCTGTGATCTTCTTCTTCTTCTTCCTTTCTCTACTCCTGGTATGACTCATGGCTTCAGGGTAAGAAGAGATCTCTGGAACAGGCTATTATGTTCGCTTTCTACATAGTACTTTTGAGTGTCTCTGATATGTGTGCTGTCCATGTTTTACGTGGTCAACTTCTGGCTTTGTTACCGCTGTATCTACACAACATTGCTCTCTGTGGTGCCCTGTCTGATGCCAGTCTTGTTACATGGCCAAACCATTTAACCTGCTGTCTAGCTATAAAGTTCAGCACTGGTTCTGTGCCGACTCTCCTCCTGATATCATCGTTCCTAAGATGATCTTTCCTGGTTGCACGTGGTTTATTACTAGGTAAACATTTCATTTCTGTTGTGACATCCTGTCATGTACTGGGAAAATGGTACTACTATGGATTTTTTTTCTGGTGTTTCACCACAAAGTGTCTAAAAAAGTTCCAGTGCTCACCACAGTGGCTATTGAAGTAGGGATTAAATACTCTTGCTTTTAAAAAAAAAAAGACTTGTCAGTAGTGCCTAATTGAAAAAAAAAAGCCCTGGTGCTCTTTCTACAGGCCAATCAACACTGGATAGTGAAGGTGAGATTGAGTGGTGGGGAGAGGAACTGTTAAGATCTTGTTTATGCGGTTGAAAGAGGAATTGCTTAGATTGCGTATGTGCGGTAGAGGGATACGGTAACAGTAGTTAGCAGACAACAGAGAAATTTTTAATTACGACACATAACTACTGGTTGTCTCACTCTTAGTAAATTGAATCCCCAAACTGGGTGTAAGTTAAGGATTATAGTAAATAGGAAAACTGAGGCAGTAAACGCTAAAGACTTTAAAGAAACATTAGTTTTACTGAGTGAAGTGATAATTAAGTAGGGGAATGGCTAACTCATCATTTAGTATAGATTTGTCATACTATCCTACAGAAATCACCTCAAGTGAATGGTTTTGACAGTAGTGAGAAGTAAACACATCATACCACATTCTTCTCTAACTCCGCGTCCAGCTCGCGAAAATTATTGTGCCAAACTAGCCAGTGCAGCGGGAACTGTGTCTGTAGAGATGTTGCCGCCATGTGACACAGACAGAGCAGGGAGAATGTTAGAAAACCACAACTTGATTAGTTGCCGAGACTTCCTCGTCTCTTCCACTCCTTGTATTGATCTTTACATCGGAATCAGACCTGTTTCTGGCGGCGGCCATGAGATGTCGTAAAATAGACTATCAACTTTTTAGCAAAACTTTCTATTTTTCTTCATTTCTCTAGTCCTGTACGGATTTATGTTTTTGCCTCCACACCGTGTACTCACTCCAAAAGGACCATTATAACATCCAGCTTGTCATGCATCAAGTGGTGCAGAACCAACCAATCTTTCTTCTGTTCATTTCCCAACACACCGGCATCACTGGGAAAAAAAACAGCGCAGAAGAACACGACTATGGGGTGTTGGTCCCTTCTGTTTCCTGTTTGAAACACAAAGCTACTGACGTCTACTGCTCTCACACCTCTCCCCGTGTGGGTTCCGGGGTCGCATTATGAGGAAACAAAGAAAAGACCCACTGTCCCCTAAAAAGCATATGGTAGAACAAAAGAGTCCCTATTCGGATGAGAATCCATTTATTACAAATTCAAGAAACTGACCGTAAGATTATATTGACCCCCCCCCCCTCCCCGCCCCCTCCCCATCCTTTTTTTTTCTCGATGATTTCGAAGTTACCAGAAGTCCAGACAGGGAAGCGTTTAAAAAAAACATCAGGAAATCTCCTTCGTTGGTCATGTTCTTAGTACACTTGTTTCCATAGCGAGGTGCACAAGATATTGAGTGGTGACAGGTTCGATTCCCGGCACGGTAACTATAGCTTTAGATTTTTATGTTGTCTAATGTGTCCTTCTATCTTCTACTTCTTCCTACGAGTGTCGATCAATGCAGTGGCTGCTTGGGAGCTGCGTGATCTCGAGGCATGGGTCCGACAAGAGTGCTAGGGGTTCCGGGCCTAGTCACTGTTAAGGGCTGTGATTTTTTCACGTGGACTTGTACTTCTAGTATTTCCCTTGGTCTCTGGGTAGTGAGATCGAACGCCCGTGTGCATTGCTGTGCACGTAAAAAATCCCTCGGCAGTTGGAAATCGAAAAGAGTAGTCTACGTTGCCCGGGAAAAATTATGAGTTAAAAAATCTACCCAAAATATTTCAGGATCCCCGCCGGTGGTAGAGCCTGTGCACTGTGCTGAGCTTCTTCGGACTCAAACTTAAGTAAGAAGAAGAACGGGGCACTTATGGGTTACTACCCTTGTGCCATGATGTTGATCCGTCTGTTCAAACTTCTGTTTGTTTATTATTTAGCCAGATAAGTCACTTTCATCCAGTTAGTTAGTTAGTTAGTTAGTTAGTTAGTTAGTTAGTTAGTTAGTTAGTTAGTTAGTTAGTTAGTTAGTTAGTTAGTTAGTTAGTTAGTTAGTTAGTTAGTTAGTTAGTTAGTTAGTTAGTTAGTTAGTTAGTTAGTTAGTTAGTTAGTTAGTTAGTTAGTTAGTTAGTTAGTTAGTTGGGTTATCCTCATTGCACTCCGGACATGTCCATAGGTGCTCAGATCCTCCCCTCAGTATGAACCCCAACGTCCGATGGCTAATAGTACCAGTTCTATGTTGATTAACAAGTCTTCTGGCGTAGCTGGTGTGCGTCTCGTTTTTTGCTGTGCCGATCTTAATTCCCAAGTCTGCCATTCTGGCGAGTGATGTGGATTCACTGCCACCAAAGTCGTCTATCCTTCCCATTTCTCTGAGGGCATTGATAATATCAGCATGATCCATAGGCTGACCGTCGGTAGTGATAGCGGATCCAGCCAACCTGTCAGCTCTTTCATTTCCATCGACGCCTGCGTGTCCCGGAACAAAAATGAAGGTGACTCCGCGGACAGTGGACTTCTGTAATGATTCAAGCCATTGTCTTCGCACTGAACCTGCCTGAACCCTCCGGATCATACTCATTGAATCACTGAGTATACACACGCAGGTGTATTTTTGTGTTTCAAGCCAGGCAAGCGCTTGTGTCACTGCCATCACCTCCATCGTCATGCTGCTGGTTGTCATGGAGAAGGCGCCGTTGGCTTCTTTGACTGTTCTGCCCGCTGAGCGTGCTGTAAATGCCCATGCGCTTCTTCTTTGGCGTATAACGGATCCGTCTGTATAGATTATTGCATCTGCTTCGTCTGAATTTTCACCGATGAGAGCGTTGACCTATGCATTAACAGCAACAGGATTCTCTTCTCTACATCGCCTGTTGAGTGTGACAATACAGGAAAATGTACAAATAAACGCCCGAGGCACAGGTATCCATTCTGCACCAGGTATGATGTCGGTTAGGCTGCATATTTGCCTAATAACATCTTCTGCCCGACCTAGCCACGATTTCCCCCTCTTCAGTCTGTCGCCCTTTTCACTAAAAAGCGCTTGATGCAGTGGGTGTTTCTTATCAGCACATATTTTGAGATATGCCCGAGCCCTCCACATCCTGATCCTTTGGTTCATTGTTGGAAAGTCAAGTAGATACCTCATTGCTCCACAGGATGTGTCTCTAGTACATCCCAAAATAATGCGCATGGCTTCATTTTGCACCTTTTCGAGTCGTTCAATCTGGGTAGCACTGACAGTGAGGATGGCCAGAGCGTATTCAATGGGGGAAAGGACCAGACTGTAGAATAGAAGTATTAGTAGTCTTTGCTCAATGTTGGAAGCAGCCATAATCCTCATTGCAGATAGACTTTTGCGTGCTTTTGTTATCACATGGTCAACGTGTTCCCTGAATGACAAGCTGCGATCGAACCTCACCCCGAGAAACGTCATAACGTTGGTTCTGATCAATACATTATCACGCATTTTCATCCAGTTATCATCATCAATCACTTTCACTACTACTTTGGATAAAGTGATGGACAAACAACACATAGCTAGATAGTGGCACTTTCGTTACCTGGCCTCATGTGTGGACTTCCTAGACAATATCATGGTAAATCAGCTTGTGTGAATCTCGGCTGTCTTATCTGCAGGCGTCACCAGTGACAGGAGGACGGACGTATTTGCCGCGTGTACTTTTCTTGTGTGTGCACAATAAAAGAGAGAAAACCGCCCAGCTTGGATAAACTGCAGCTTTCAGGGAGCGATAACAATAAACCCACGTGGTCAAATAGTGGACATAAACCTCACACTCTAGACCATCTTATCGGGGTCTGTTGTGATATTTTTTTCCCCTTGGTTCGATGGTTGTTTGGCAATAATCTTGTGTTTGCTTGTCTTTGTCTGCTCGCTTTCCTCGATTTTTATTTCGGGAAATTCCCACATCAGCGGGGTGGGAGTATGTCATATTATGTTTTATGCGGGGCTGCGGATCGATCATGTCCTACCACTAGGGCCTCAGAGTTCAAGGCCCCGGGACAAGACTTCTTGCTGGGCCCCAACGCGCCCCCCCCCCCTCCTCCCACTTACACATGGACACATAAATCAATAATGTCATAATTATACATTTCTTAAAAACGTTCAAACACTTTTTGCAAATATATTAGAAAGAAGCCAGCGGGATGCACATCACCCATCTTGTGCCGATTGGTCTATACAAAATATAGGTCTAGCCCTATATGCCCTAGACGCCTAAAGGCGGGGAAATGAGACCTTAACTTTTTTAAGTTTTATTGTTTATTAAAAATAGGACACGTACTTCTGTATATAAAAAGACAATAAAATCAGTAATACGCATTAGTATAAAAAATAATAAGACAATATACAAAAGCAGTGAAGTAAGTGACAGATTGATTACAAGCTGATAACAGTTATTATAAATGAAATTTAATGGCATTTATATCTCCTTAAAAAGAAGGTACATTCCCTGCCTTAATTCCTTGCCTTTTCCTGGTATTTTTAGGAATCATAACATCAAAATGAATTTTTGTTTTGCAAGATTGAACTCAGAAGTGAGTCTGCCAAATCTACCAGTCGCCCCTGTGACATAGTTACCACCTCAATCTGTCTTCCGTGTCTTGAGAATTTGTACTTTTGATGGTTTTCTTCCACACTGCCGAACTGTCTCTCGGGACCACAGGCACAAGGAAAACATGTGCATGTTCGCGAGTAACCAGTGCAGCAGTACGCATGTGTCATCACGGTCTGGAGAGAATGGTGCTGCGAGGAGGGACTTGGGGACCTGTTCGACGATCAGCACTCAAGCGGAAGGTGAGACGGATATACAGTGACAATGTTACTGGTACTATAGGAATTGGAACTCTGCGCTTGCTGCTGAAGACGGGAACGGAGCGCCTATGAGAATGCACTGAGTGCTGTGATGTCGATTCTTAATTAAACATTTGTTGCATGAATGTACCGTTTTGTTATTTCTTATGACGCTCTTCTCTTTCCTGTCATCGTAATATCTAGTGCAATCTTTTTTTTTTTTAAATATTGTACTGAGCTACTTATTCTTCTTCTTCTTTGCGTTCGGTTTCGTATGCTTAGATCAGACTATCAGGTGGCTTGCCTCTTTAAACTCGCATGTCAGTAGCAGGTCCTTCATGGTTCCCCATATCTTGCTCTGCACACTGCTTTTGAGGCTAGGTGTCTTTTAGAAGTTGTAGGGCAGAGGTCTACAAAATGTGCTCAGATGTGTGTGGTCCTGTTTGACCGGCACACTGTGGGGGACTGTACAATCTTTATTTTATTCATGTGGTAGTTTAGCCTGCAGTGTCCTGTTCGTAGACCGACAATTGTTGAATGTTTCTTTCTATTGAGTCTGCTGATGGGATCTAGTGGATTTTTATTGTTAGTTTGTTCTCTCCACAATTCCTTTCATTTTCCTTGGATCAGTGTTCTAATTTCAATTAACGACGAAGAATTGACGTGTTGTTTACATTTGTTCCATTTTTCGCAAGCATGTCTGCTAACTAATTTGCTGCTATGTGGCAGTAAGCCGGGATCCATTGGAGAAAGATATGATAGTTTTCTGTGAGTTTGTTTAGCTGGCGGGTCAGTTCTCTCTCCATGTTGTCTCGTGGATCCCTCTGAGTCGGCTGGATAACTGACATGCAAAAACGTT